CTGTCAGGGCATCCTGAGATTCCTGTGATGGGATCTCTGGATTCCTGTCAGGGGGTTCTGGATTCCTGTCACGGGGTCCTCACATGCCCAGGAGGGAATTCAGGGTTCTGTACAATAGTGGGAGAAGGGATGATGTCCAAGGAATTGTCTTTGTCCCATCCATGTGTCCGTCCATCACCCCGACAGCCAGACCATGCTCCATGATCTACCCAGACTCAAGGGAAGGGATGGGACCGGGAGGTTTTGGGACAGGAGGGAAGCAGACAGCAAGCAAAGTTTGGGGGCTGTGCAAGTGCAGGACCCATATTCCTTCTTGCTCATTAATTTTCTAAAATTCCCAYTCTCCTCCCTAAATTAAACCACCAGAGATCCCACTATAAATCCTGGGAAATCCCAGAGAATGGTGTGGAGTTCATTAAATCCCAGTACTGAGGGAGCTTTGGGGTCTGTTTAGGGGATCTCTGGGGGCTGTTTTGGGGGATTGCTAGGGGCTGGTTCAGAGGGTTCCATGGGGCTGTTCCAGGGATCTCTGGAGCCCATTTTGGGGGGTCCCTGAGAGCAGTTTCAGAAATCTCTGGATCCCATTTTGGGGGGTCCATGAGGACTGTTTTAGGGATCTCTGGAGCCCGTTTTAGGGAGTCCCTGAGGGGCTGTTTCAAGAGTCTCTGTGGGCTGTTTCAGGGATCTCTGGGGCCCGTTTTAGGGCGTTCCTGGGGTCTGGTTGGTGCTGTCTGTTCTCACACCATGCTCYCCTCTCTCTCCCCTCAGAGGGCTGTGGCACCGACTCATCCTGTGACCAGGAGATGCTGTTTGTGTAGGGAACCTGCAGGATCCCAAATCCATCAYTGTCCCAGCCCAGCCGAGGGCTGTGACTCAGACTGAAGTGATGAGCTTAATTAGAAATAAAACTTGTACAGAAAAACAACCCAGAGAGAAGTCTATGAGTTTTGTGAGCTCGCCTGGTTTAGGTGCAGGCTTGGGAGGAGAGAAAAAGGCATTTTCAGGAAAAAGTGGAGGTAAAAAGTGAGGATTTCAGGRCAATTATCTGAGGGAAGGAGGGAAAGGGAGCTGAGKGCCATGGCTGAACCACAGCAAACTMCAGGCTCARCACTGGGAARCCCAAAATCAGAGGTTTTAGGAYAAAGCTGAGCCTGCAAASCCMAACAACCCAGAACACCCACAGTCATTCCAATTTTACCTACACCTGCAGCTCCAGGTGATGAATAAAACAAAGCTGATGGGAGGAATAAAGAGACACCAGAAACCCTGGATCATTCAGACACATTTTCTTATTCAGCCACACCATGGGATGTGCAAAGGAGGGTTCAAAGTGTGACATCAGGAGGAACAATAAATTCCTTCCCCCAACAGCAAAAGAAGGGAAAGGTCAGTGCTTCCTACAAATCCAGCCCTCKTTTGCCTGCAGAAACATCCAGAGGAGCTGACAGCAAGGAGCTCAGAGCCAGGCTGTGTGTGAAGGCAGGAGGGATCCAAACGTGTGGGAGGTGGGATCACAGGCACAGCAACAGGCACACAGGGCTGAGCCAGGCTGCTGCAACCTCTGAGCTTCCCGCAGGCATTAACCCTTTGGAAACAGCACAGCCAGGCCCGTGGCCTTTCTCCACCATTCTGTGGTCAATTTATACATTCAAAAGAAGAATCTGTGCTGGCTGGGGAGCCCCTGGACACAATCCAGGGCTGCTATGACAGCACKGTGCGCCTGACGATCCGCCCGTCCTTGTCGATGGCGAAGTTGTAGTTGCGGGGGTTGTCCAGGCACTCCTCGATCCGTGCCTCCAGGTTCTCGGGGGTGATGAAGTTCTTGGCTTCCTCCTGAACCAAAGGACAAGGTTTTATTCCCTCAGGGTTGTCCCACCCTGTTCTCAGAGCTCTGGCTCAACCTCTCTCCCATCCACGGGCTGTCAACACCCCGGGAAGGTGCTGACGTTTGTGTTCCTGGCTGCCAAAGGAAAAATCTCTGGAAAACAAGCCCACRGCTTCCACGTGGCATGGAATGCTGGCAGCCTGGCTCCCAGGAGGCACCARCTGCTCTTACCTGCAGCTGGAGAACCTCCTTCTCCTTTTCTTCCAGGAAAGCCTCCATTTTCCTGGCCTGTCTCTCTGCAATCTCTGACTTCTTCCKCTTCAGCTCCTCCTCTTCTTTCCTGAGCCTCTCCTCTCTGTGAGAGAAAAAGGAAAATGGATGGATGGGGTGACACATCCATCCTTAGGAGGCTGCCCTGAGCACCYTGACTTGGCCCTCAGCAGCAAAAGGCACAGGATTGCTGCACAGGCAGATTTATTTTAAAAGGGCACTATTTCCCAGAATCACAGAATCAAAGAAAAAGAAAAGACTTTGTCCTCTTGTCCTGTCTCTGACTGGAGCAGAGCCTGACCCCCTCCTGGCTGCCYCCTCCTGTCAGGRGGTGCAGAGAGTGACAAGGTCTCCCCTKAGCCTCCTCTTCTCCAGCTCCCTCAGYCTTTTCTCACAGRAYTTRTRTTCCAGACCCTTCAGCAGCTTTGTTGCCCTTCCCTGGACACRCTCCAGYATCTCCAAAATTGGGGAACCCACAACTGGACACAGCACTCGAGGTGTGGCCTCACCAGTGCTGAGCACARGGGAAGAATCCCYWCCCTGCTCCTGCTGGCCACGCTRTTCCTAATCCAACCCAGAGCAAMMCTGCCTCTGKAAAAATTAAACCAGGCTCTGAATGAGTTAATTCTGGCTCAGAATTAAYGACCTGCGTGCCTGCTGCCGGGCGTTCTCCTCGTCGTTCCAGGCCATCAGGCGCCGGTGCTCCTCCAGCTCCTCCACGGAGGTCTCGGCAGCCAAACGCTCCTCCCGCTTCTGCTGCTGCACCTCGGCCCTGAACTCAGCCCTGCACAGGAGGAGCRGCCACTGAGCTCCTCTCGGGGCTGGGGAACAGGGGCTGCTCCCAAAAATGGCCCAGAGTAGAGCAGATCCACCACAGCACCCCACAGCATTCCAGTCCCACCACCCCACCCCACAGCGTTCCAGTCCCATCAGCGTTTCCTACCCCACAGCATCCCAGGATTTACCTGCTCCTGTTACAAACTGTTCCAGACCCCCCAACCCTCYCCTGCCCCACTATCAGCCCCCGGCCCCACAGACAGCCCTCTCCCTCACAGCAGCCCCAAATGGCCACAAGCCCAAATCTGCCCTGCCCCATAGCCCCACAGCCAGTGCCCCGCCCTACAGCCAGTACCATACCCTGTCACAACCAGACCCCAACCCTCCCCTGCCTCAGGGCCGCCCTCCAGCCCCATATCCCATAACCAGCCCCATACCCATTGCCCGGCCCTACAGGCAATCCCATCCCCAGTCACAACCAGATCCCAACCCTCCTCTGCCTCACAGCCGCCCTCCAGCCCCATACCCAGTCATAACAGATCCCACCCCTCCAGCCCCATATCCCATAAACAGCCCCATACCCAGTCATAACCAGATCCCACCCCTCCAGCCCCATATCCCATAAACAGCCCCATACCCAGTCATAACCAGATCCCACTCCTCCAGCCCCATACCCCATAACCAGCCCCATACCCAGCCCCCCAACCCTTTCCAACCCTACAGCCCCCCCATACCCAATAACAACCAACCCCCGGCCCTTCCCCGCCCCACAGCAGCCCCCCATCCCCTCGCAGGCCCGTGCCGGTACCGGAGGGCGCTGAGCACCAGCCGGTGCTGCCGGTACCGCTCCAGCACCACCAGCAGCTCCTCGGGATCCACGGGCGGCGGCAGCTTCACCCGCCCCGCCTTGGACTTGGCGGGAGGGTCGTGCCGGGACTTGCGGCCCCGCGCCGGCACGGCCCGCGGGGTCCAGGCGGGACAGAGCCCCGGGAAGGGGCCGGGACTGCCAGGACAGAGCCCCGGGAAGGGACCGGGGCCCAGCGCGGCCGCCACGACCGGCACAGGGACGGGCCCCGGGCGGCAGCGCCTCAGCGCCGGCAGCATGGCGGGGCCCGGCGCGGAGAGTGACGTCACGGCGCGGGGGGTGACGTCACGGCGCGCGGAGCTACGGGAAGGGAAAGGGGAGCGGGGCCTGATGGGAAATGGAGTCCGGGAGAGGGAGCGGGACAGGGACAGGGACAGGGACAGAGACAGGGACACGGACAGGGATAGGGACAGGGAACGGGACAGGGAACGGAACGGGACAGGGACAGGGACACGGACACGGACAGGGACAGGGACAGGGACAGGGAACGGGACAGGGACAGGGACAGGGACAGGGACAGTGACAGGGACCGGGACAGGAACAGGGACAGGGATGGGACAGGAATAGGGACACGGACAGGGATGGGACAGGGACAGGGATGGGACAGGGAAAGGGAAAGGGACAGGGACAGGGATGGGACAGGGACACGGACAGGGACAGGGACAGGGACAGGGACAGGGACATGGACAGGAACACGAACAGGGATGGGACAGGGACACGGACAGGAACGAGGACAGGGACACCCCAACGAGACACGGACATTCATGGGGCAGGGACAGTCCTACCCGGGACGGGGACAGCCATGGGACAGGGTAGCCAGGGGACAGGGACACTCTACACGGGACATAGAATCCGTGTGACACGGACACCCCCACGGGACAGGGGACACAAACCCTCCGCCGGACAGGGACACGGACACGGACAGGGACAGGGACAGGGACAGGGACAGGGACAGGGACACGGACACGGACAGGGACAGGGACAGGGACAGGGACATGGACAGGGACATGGACAGGGATAGGGACACGGACACGGGACCCATTGGAACAGCGAATCCCCCCAGGGAACAGCCGCCCACGAGACGCCGCACCCCAAAACACACAACCCTCCACGGGGCACGAATCGCAAACACGGGACACGAATCCCAAACACGGGACACAGCCCCACGACAGACACGAACCCCGCACATCCCATTCCCCCCTTAACGACACGCAGCCCCCCCGGGATCRATTGTCCCCCTCCCCGCCACACGAATTCCCCGCACGGGGACACCGTTATCCCCACGGGTCACCCCCCACCCCGCAGGACATCGCCCCACGCCCTTCCCCAGCACCATCACAGCGCACAGCTCGCCCCCAGCCCCTTTATTCCCCTCGGGGGGCTCCGGTCAGGGGCGCTGCGGGACGGGACCGGGGGGGATCGGTCAGTGCCGGGGATCCCCCCGGACACCCCCAGCCCCGTTCCCGATCACCGACAGCGGCTCCTCCCGACGCGGGGGACACGGGAGGGGACGGCAGCGCCCGACAGGGGACGGGACCTGCGGGAGGGACAAAAAGGGACACTCGGGATAGCGGGGGATCGACCCGCGAGTGGGGGAAATTCCAGCGGGGATAAACTGCGGGGGTTTCGAGGGGGAGATAACTCGGTGGGATGATAAACACGGGGAAAGGGGATGATGTGGCGGGGGATAATTCGGGGAGGGGGATAACCTGGGGGATTACAGCCCCGTGGAGGTGATAAATACGGAGTGGGGTTTAATCCGGGGAGGGGATAAATCCGGAGTGGGGTTTAATCCGGGGAGGGGGATAACCTGGGGGGATTACAGCCCCATGGAGGTGATAAATCCGGAGTGGGGCTTAATTCGGGGAGGGGATAAATCCGGAGTGGGGTTTAATCCGGGGAGGGGGATAACCTAGGGGGATTACGGCCCGTGGAGGTGATAAATCCGGAGTGGGGTTTAACCCGGGGAGGGGATAAATCCGGAGTGGGGTTTAATCCTGGGAGGGGGATAACCTAGGGGGATTACGGCCCGTGGAGGTGATAAATACGGAGTGGGGTTTAACCCGGGGAGGGGATAAATCCAAGGACTCAGGGAAGTGATTGCGAGGG